TTTCAGCCATTTATTTATTTATCAGAGAAAACAGCATTTGCAGGAGTGGAATTTGTAAGTCCTTTTTTAAAAGTTGTCTTCTGATCACATTGAATTAGAAACCATTCACCTTCTCTTCCCCTCCCTCCTCACATCCTTCTCTTGTTCATTCACTTGGGCTATAGAGCTTGTGGCTGTAGTTTGCTGATCTCCATATTTTCCTCATGCTCATAGGCAGTGTTTTGCATCTCATGCACAACACCCTACTCTTTCTCATGGCAGACAAGTCATTACGGCTGTGTATAGACTGGCAAGTTTTTCCGGAAAATCAGCCGCTTTTCCGGAAAAACTTGCCAGCTGTCTACACTGGCCGCTTGAATTTCCGGAAAAGCACTGACGATCTCATGTAAAATCATCAGTGCTTTTCCGGAAAAAACTATGCTGCTCCCGTTCGGGCAAAAGTCTTTTTCCGAAAGACTTTTGCGCAAAAGGGCCAGTGTAGACAGCACAGTACTGTTTTCCACAAAAAAGCCCTGATCGCGAAAATGGCGATCGGGGCTTTTTTGCGGAAAAGTGCATCTAGATTGGTCACGGACGCTTTTCCGCAAAAAGTGCTTTTCCGGAAAAGCGTCCTGCCAATCTAGACGTGCTTTTCTGAAAATGCTTTTAACACAAAACTTTTCCGTTAAAAGCATTTCCGGAAAATCGTGCCAGTGTAGACGTAGCCTACCAGTCTGGGACATTTCATTATCAAACTCTGACCAATCCCAAAGGCACCTTATGCCCCACAGCAGTGTTACCACAATTTTTATCCATGATTTTTTCTTGGCATTGGTCAGCATTAAAAGAAAGATCAAAATATAAATATAAACAGCAGACAACATTCATTTCTGATGGCTGCAGTATTTGATGGTGTGTAATGTTTTCCTATTGGATGGGCATAAATACGCACCAGATGGAAAAACACTGTGTGGTCCTTTGACACGGAGTGAATATGGGATGACATTAAGAAATGGAAAATTTGGGCTGAATATCAGAGAATCTATTCGCCTACAGGACAGGGATGCAAGTCTGACTCCTTGACACATTTTAAAATAGATTGGACAAAACATGAGACAATGTGTCCATAGGGAGCAATTCTGCACTGACAGGCAGGAACTGAGAGGCCTTTTCCATTTGTGAAAACTGCTTTTTAGGAACTGGTGGAATAAACCCTTAGATTTCACTCAGGAGATACTCAGTGTTTCAAAAGCTAAAACACGGAGGCAGACTGAATTTGTTATCTACAGGAGTAGTGAGCTGGAGAAAACTCTTGCTGTTAGCAATCTATTTTTAAGCAATATCATCACTTCCCCTTTCCTCGGGACGAAGGCTGCAGTATTTCCATGACTAGAGCTTGGGAATTCTGCCTCACCATCACCACACATGCATTTCCCTACTTTAACCTGCAGGTTCTTGTACTGCAGCCAGCATCCTTCAGCCAGAAGAGAGACTATATGTCAGTTAATATCACTGCTTCCTGAGGAGGAAAGGTTGCTTTCAAGCAACACTAACTCCTGCGAAGAGCAGCTCTGCCTTTGAGTCACTACCGGCTCCGGAGAGGAGAGCTGAAGCTCCGTCTGAAGTCTATGAGAATTTTGTCATTGACTTCTGTGGGCCAGCATTCAGTTCCAGGAGTGGGATGTAGCTCTTCTCTACGCAATGCAGAGCAGCTATAGGGCTGGTTGGGTTCACAGAAAAGATTCTACCAGTATGTTTTGAAAGGGCCTTTTCAAGGCATATTTTGTCAATTAAACATTGTTTGTCATTCATGGCTTCCAGGAGCCCTCTTGAAGCAAAAGGCTAAGTTCTGCTTGCCCTGATTTTGTGAGCCAGGCCACAGCAGCAATGGGATCAATTGGCCACCATTCCTGTTTCAGTAAGGAGCAGCACGGTGGCCTCTGGTGGTGACTGTGTGCATAGGCAGATGGCTTAAAATTCAGCCTCTGGAAAGAAACTGCAGGAGAGCAAATATAAATTAGGCTCCATCCTACTGCTTTGTGCCAAATAAAAAACAACAACCCCAAAGCATCCAAAACCACTCACTGCAGGCATCAGATGCACCAGCAAGAACTACACCCCAGTGTAATCACCCACACCTGCTACAGCCAGCTAGAACAAAAGCAAAGGGCCACTTACTCCAGAAGGAACAAGCAATGTGTAATGAACTGTGCTTAGAACCTCAGGCCCGGTGGCTGGATGAGGCCCCTGGCTTGCCTGGATCTAACCCCCTCAAGACTCAGCTCCCCCCCTCCCAATCGCCAGACCACAGGCCTGGAGCATACAAAATCTATTAGCCTGGACTCCCCCTCCCCCAGGCTCTGGTGTGCAAGGGGAATGTGAGGAGTGTCTGCTTCTAAATCAGGAGCCAGGTCAGTGAGATTTTATTTTTTGCTTCTCATTTATATGCGGCCCCCAACTGATTTTTCTGTGGGTCAGCAGCCCCCAAACCAAAAAAGGTTCCCCGCCCCTGCTCTAAGCCCTCTCCTACCCCAGTACGCTAATGCTATTTTGGAACTCCCTCCCCTGTTTGGAAGTGTTTACTGTGATCCAAGCACTAAAATCAGAGCACAGGTGCTGGCAAGAGCATCTGGGCACTAGGGAAGTGAAAGGATAACTGGTTACCCACTTAACTGATAAGCACCATGCTAAACGGGTAACGCTTACTGGTTCTGGTAGGGGCTGGAACAGCTCCCCACCTCCCATAGGCAGAGGGCTCCCGAGCCCCACAGGCTGGGCCAGTCCCCAGCCCAGATCCTGCTTAGTCAGTTAACCAGTTAAATATTAAGTCAGCCTAAAGTTTAACCAGTTAACTGATTAACCTGAATGTCACATTCCCAATGGGAAGTGGAGTGCTAGGTCATTACTGCAGCATCATGCAGATAGGGATGGATTCTCAGCATCACTAGTCTAGTCAAAAGAGCTACCACAGATTTACACCAGCTGAGAATCTGGCCAGAAGTTATAGATAGCTACTATATATTTGAGAGAGTTTATGCAGCTATGTGCTCATCCATGACTGTCTGTTCAAGAACTCCTCCTGAACTGTTAAGCTTTGTCTATACTGCTAGTTCTTCAAGCAGAAAATATGCTAAAGGGACTCAGCAGCATAAGTTGAAATCTTTTTTTTTTTTTTGAGCAAAAACCTTGTTTTGCACAAGATCCTTATGCCTCTCTAGGACAGGCATAAGGATCTTGCACAAAATGGGGTTTTTATGGAAAAAAAAAAGTGTCCTCAGTGCTGCTTTTTGCACAAAAACCCCTTGTGCAAAAAGAAACAGCAAAAAATATGCTAATGAGTTTGTGACTTATGCCAATGAGTCCCTCATTAGCATATTTTCTGCCTGAACAACTGGCAGTGTCAATGAAGCCTAAGAGCTAGGACCACCACATTTGATATGCAGCTTCCTCTTATCCTAACTTAAAGCAAGGTCAGGGTTTGGTTGATCCAGGATAATGGGATGTGCCGGGAATGGGATTCCATTTGTTTCTCATCAAAAGGAGGGATCTGATCGCAGAGACAGCTATACACCAGACTGACTACATGGGGGCAGCAAGCAAGTGCACCCTCAACAGCCCTGGAGAGCTGCAAAGCATCTCCTGCCCCCACCCCCCCATGAGCAATGCCCACCACTGCCACACCAGGCTGGCCCCAGGGAGCAGACACTACCCCTACCTCCTCCATACTCCCAACCCCCTGCCCTGAGGGATCTGATCAATGCCAGGTAAATCTTCTAATATATAAATGTATATATGTAAATACACAGAGAGGATCTAACCCTAGTATCCTACGTGGGTTATGTCTGTATGAGGGCTTTGAAACATTCTTGCACAGATGTAACCAACCCATATTTATTTATTTTAATAGTTACTAGAAAATAGCATTAGACATGATTTGTCTTTGATCCTAAATGTGAATGATCAGATATACTGTGGGGCTTGCCCCTCTTACATTATTCTCAGCACAAACATACCCCACCTACAGCAAGAAAAGCAGCTTTGTGGTATTCTGCATTACAAACTGACAGTGACTTGATCTGTCTGTGCCACTTGGGGGAGAGAGCAACAGAGGCTCCATAGTTGGCAGGAAAAGAGAACTGAGCAGCAGAGAGACATGGAAGAGAGGTTAACATTAAACTTCTAGATACTATGGGCTTAATTCTAATCTCGCCACAGTGTACATCCACTGATTTCTGTGGTGGTACTCCTGATTGACACCGGTGGGAGATCAGAACCAAGCCCAACAAACGGCATTCCGACAGACTGGAATCAATGATAAAACACAGCCCCTGGCCCTCAAATCCTGAACATCTGGAACTCCGGCTGAAGTCAATGGCAGCTGCAAGTGCTCATTAGCTGCTCAGCACCTCCCAGGATTTGCCCCTTTATATAAATATATATATATATATAATTGACACCGGTGGGAGATCAGAACCAAGCCCAACAAACGGCATTCCGACAGACTGGAATCAATGATAAAACACAGCCCCTGGCCCTCAAATCCTGAACATCTGGAACTCCGGCTGAAGTCAATGGCAGCTGCAAGTGCTCATTAGCTGCTCAGCACCTCCCAGGATTTGCCCCTTTATATAAATATATATATATATATA